ACAAGGGTTAGCTGGGCGAGCTGAGAGCCGGATATTTTACCTGAGGAATCTGAATAATTGGATGAAGAGCGAGTTAATAAGTGGGTTGCCATGTTTACAAAAGATTTCATCAAAACAGTTTACTCCAAACATTACAGCAATGTTGTGTATGTTTCTGATTTCTGATCATCTATGTTAGAATTCTCTAATGATTGTTTTTAAAGTTTCATGACGCAAGCATGAAACTTCTTTTCAAACTTTTGAAATTCCTAATTTTTCCTGTTCGTGTGATTTCAGTTGCTTCTTGTTCACCTCGAAGGCAGTTATCAAGACGGCTGGAGGGCGTTGCGGTTTTGATGACGTCATTGAACGTTATTGGTGGAGGGCATTGAGAGGCGGTCTCAACACACTTACTAGCACGCTGAGGTATCTAGTCCACCAATGATGTTCAATGCGTCATCAAAACCGCACCTCCAGCCATTGCGACCAGTGCATTGGAGAAAGTTAAAGGCAAGAATCAGGATTAATTGATGGGGTGATTCCACTCAAATGTGAAAGTAGGGATGGGAGGTGGACCGCCAGTGGAGAAAAAAGGAAAGAAAATCCTGAAATACACAGGAAATACGAGCATTTTGCTCCATGCTGTGGAGAAGTTCAAAAGACAGGCAGGGAGATGAGAGATAATGTGAGCGCGGAGAGTGGTAGAGAAGTCCGAGAAGAGAGAGCATAGCAGATCAACGTGGCGACGCAGACAAGATATCGAACGGTGGGCGGACCATGTTAAGTTTGGTGGAGTCTGTTAGAAGTCCATGGCGCCTAGGATTTCAATGTAGAAGCTACCTCTGTACTTGCGTACCCAGCACTTCTAGCCATGGTAAGGGCTCCTTAGGTGGGTCTGAGCCCGAACTTTGTCTTCAGCTGTCGCTGTACTTTAAAAATCGTGCCCTATATTTTATTTCTCTAACTGTTCTAGAAATCTTCTTTTGTAAAGCACCTTCTACATTACTGATGTTTCTTACTTTATCACAGGTGTACTCGCTTCTATAGGGTTGGCGTTCTGAAGTGAATTAATTTTCAGATGAAGCACTTCAGCTGTTACGAGAGGAAAGTATTAACAAAATGTTCCGCCCACGGGTGCTTGATCTGGCATGTGGAAAAGGTGGAGATCTCAGGAAATGGAAAATAGCTAATGTGGACAGCGTCGTTATGGCTGGTTCGTGATCTGCTTGCTTTGAGTTCGTATAGAAACCTTTGATTTCTACTCTTTTCATATTTCTCCAAACTATTTTAGATGTCGCTCAGGTGGTTCGATTGAATCGGACAAGAGAGGTTACGATGAGATGGCTCAACGTGAGCGAAATGGCTTATTCCCGGTTGAATTTCTTCATGTTGATTGTTGTAAGGTGGGTTGAAGTGAAAGCATTTCAGCTTTGCTGTAGCGAAGCTGAAAAGTTTTCTTTTATGAGAGTTGTTTTCCTTAGTAGTTAGTGATTTAAATCTCTTGTCAGGAGTTAGAATTTTTCACAGTATTTATTTTTCCTGGTTTTTTATCCTTTTTCGATATGAATAAACGTGACACAATGGTCACGGTCCACTTTTTAGTGATTTAGTTTCGATTTGGTCGATATCAAACATTAAACGCACCAATCTATGAATTTCTTTCCTTAGTAAGTAAGGGATCCTGGCTTTTTAAATCGAAATGGAAGTTAAGGATGAATGCCCTTATGTTCCTTTTCTTCTGAAGTAATTCTTATATGAATTTACGTAGATATGGGCGAATTTGATTTTAAGGAGCACATGGATCGTAACAGATGGAGTATGGAAAGTGGTTGGGAATGTAGCTTTGCGTACTTCCATGTTATCGGCCCCCCCCTCTCCCAATTATTCGAGGGAATGCGTTCTCGAAAACGCTACTGGCCGTTCCTCACAGGTCGCTAGTGAGCGTTGCATATTTTCTTCGAGGGGACGGTTGCGCGTTCAATATGGAATATGGAATAATAATATGGAATAATAGGACGATGGAAATGGAAATCGTACGAGAACGATGACTTCTACACATCAATCAATCGTAGTCGTGACGATCTTTTCCACAGGGTGATAAGGCGATGAAAAAGTACTCTATTCTGACTCCTCTCAACCTACGCTCAGAGGTGGGAAACGTATCGGTCGATCTTTTCGGATATGCTTCTGAAGCACAAGCCAATATGTACAACAACTTTATTCGCGCTAAAGTTTCGCTTTGTCACTTGTCTAGAGGCCTGAAAGTCAATAGGATCAGTGCCGACTATCCGCATAAGAAGATTAAGCCCCGTAAACCGGTAGCATCTAGGGGGCCATAAATCACAAACACCAGCTAACACCTTAGAACGCACGGTAGGATGTTGCTGAGACCACCGCTAGACTGACTCGCAGTGGGTGGCTTCAGATGACCTAGCCCATCGGCATGGAGCCGATGGCGCTTCGAAGCCCACAAAGGTCAGCGAAAGGTGCGAGTTCACTAGTTATGGCTAGGCATTCATCTTTCCGTTGATTTTTTTTTGGATTTTTGGCGCGGCTGCTCCAAAGGCCTCCAAAGTTTTGCGCGCTATGTTGGGCTTATGTGTCAAACCTAAAGCGACCTCGGACTCCGCGCCTCCGTGGCAGTTTATCCTATGACCACCCAGGGGGGTCTCAGGCCTTGACTTGCCCAACCCGTTTAGATGTTCTTTGATGGCAGTATTGATTCTCTTGTTTTTCGGCTGTATATTCCTGTCCAATTTGGACATCCTTCATCGTCCCGAATAAGTATGCTTACCGCTTTTCTCTGATAAGTGGCCTTAGGGCGAAAGACAATGGCACGCAATCAAAAGTAAGCAGGTAATGGTGAAAATGAGGTCCTTTAAATTCTCACTCTTTTGTCTACAGAAGTATAACCAATACAACTAACTCTACTTTCAGGAAAATCTCAAAGAAAAGATAACTGGTTCACCAGAATTCGATTGTCAGATGCCAATTCGCACGCATTACTCGTTCTTATCGATGAGTAATCAGCTCGTATCTTTCTACGTAATGCGACAGAAACCTTACGACGACCAGGTCTCCTGATTGGAACTTTGCCTGATGCGGACAGGATTGTGTGCGTTTTTTTCATTCACTGTGCAGCAACCAATTGTGGAAAGTTTTTTATATGACTTCAATAACAGAAAAGAAAGCCACAAAAGGAAGATGGAATCAAATCTCATGGAAGTTAAAATTTAATTATATGTCAAGCCTAGATTAATGCTCGTGTGATTCTGTATGTGGTGCAACTCGGGTCTTTATAACAACTGACTAACCGATTCTCTAATTTTTTGACTTTTCAATAATGTCTGCTATATGGCGCATTCCATCTCCGGTGTGGGTCGTAGCAACAAACGATTATGTCCATTATATCCGTTTTGTGAGTCTCTCGGCTCTAAGCTTTCCCTCCTATTGTTTCATTAATATGTCCGGACAGTTAAGCAGGCGAGTAGTGACATTGCTATTCCTGACACGCCGTACACGGAAGAGGGAGAAAGTGAGTCAAAGCGTGGATCCTGGCTGGCCAGTTGTTTCGCTCTAGTCAGTGGAAATTGATCAGGAACGATTAACCCTTTTGTGAAGCATAGCAATTCAAAGGCGGAGTTAACGATCAGAAGGCAGCTATTAGAATCAAGGTAGATGTGATCAGTGCTAAAGAGATGTAGAAAATCGTGAGAAACGGCTCAGAACCGAGAATTGGGACTCTTTCCTTCCCGTTGATTTCCGCACTGATGCGACCCTCATCGGTGCTGCCCTCTTCAACGGTAACGCTCTCTGCTGAACGGCTAGAGACCTGCGGCGAGTGGTTAGCCAGTCGGTGGGCGTGCCGCGCCGATAGCGCGCGGCCATGCTAGGACGCCGGGGCACATTCTTGCGAATTGCGTGTTGGTGCGCACCCTCAGGAGGTCCGCCCGTCTTTTCACTGAGTAAGTTTCTCCTTCTTCGACCTTCGAAATTATCATGCAACTCTCTCTTGATGGCAGAGTTTTATTCTTTAGGACCAAGCCGGCTTAACGCATCTCAGCTGTTTACAGTTTGTTTCATGAATAGAACAAAGTGTTAGTGGATGAAATGCAAAAATGACAGCATACAAATCGATATCCCCTGAAATATTAGGTTTTCGGAAAAGTCTTTGGCCATTTTTGTTCCAAATTTTTTTCTTTAGCGCAGTAAATATTTAACAAATATATTTCCCGACAAGGCGGAAATGGTGTAGTGGCAAGTGGATCAACTCACCACGCGCGCCTTCCGGGGATCAAGTCCTCGATCGTATGTTGTCCGGGCCAGTTGGTTGTGAGCCTTTTATCCTTCCGGGTTGGTTGAATTGGTACCAGACTTGTCTGGGAGGATAAAAACACTGACTCGCCTGGCCCCCGCAAGTCATTGTATAGGCCACATCGCATTCAAATTGCCACTACGAATCTACAAATGGAAGTGCAATGCGTGCCGTATCCCGAAATGGGATTGATCAACCCTGAATGCTTTGTCTTTTTTTGCTTTATACTCCACCGTCGTCGTCAACATATTGCCTCTTCAGCGGGTGACTTGTTTAGAATCTCGAACTATGTAAGCGAGGAAACTCTAAGGAGTCCTTTCCTTTTAGTCCAGATCATCAAACTTCCCATGGTTTGTTGGACAGCGATAGAGGCAGATGGACGCCTCACAAGGATACTAGCATGTGAACGAGACTTTCACTTCAGACGGAACTCGCGTCCACACCTCTTGCTTACCGGGCAGGTGCTTTACCAGTTAACCCCTACAGCAGAAGTTGCCAGCGAAGTATTTTTGCCACCTCAATCCCCATGAGTTGTAATTTAGTGCCTGTTTTGTTTTTATTTCGACGGCTCATACCACGCTAATAATGCTGGGATTGATAAGCTCCTATCGGCTCGAAGACACAGTTAAACATCAATTGATGTATTGTTAGCAGTCGCCTGGTATACGAAACGGCTTGAACACGATTGCTGGCTAGACAATGCGTTGTGCCTTCAGCTCAGCAGTACTCCATAACTTTTGAAAAAAATCTTGAACAGAGATAGTAGAACCCTCTCGAGTTTTCACGAGAATTTTTGCAAAAATATCGTCAATGAGAAAACTTCTTCTTGTTCTCCTTAGCGTTAGTCCCGTCGCAGGATCCGCTGTCTTTATCAGTCGTCGCCACTTTGTCTGTCCAGCGGCATCTTCTGCTGTGGCCATGATTCACTTAGGTCCTTCTTGATTACGTCCTTCCACCTCTTCTTTGGGGCTCCTCGCGGTCGCTTGCCTTGCGCTTCGAAGTCCATTGCTTCCTTATTGGGTGGTCCTGTGGCCTCCTTAGCACGTGCCCATACCATCGCAGACGCTGTTCCCGTACCTTCAGCTGGACAGGGGCAGTCTGCATGACCGCTCTGACATCCTCGTTTCTGACCCTGTCCAGTCGCGTCCAGCCGCAGGCCCATCTCAGCATCCTCATCTCAGCGGAGTGAAGCTGCCTTTCGTGATTCTTGTTCAGGGGCCAGCACTCGCTGCCGTAGCATCGCAGGCCTTACCACTGTCGGTACACCTTCCTTTGAGCGTTCTGGAGCACCTTCGATCGCAGAGGATTCCAGTGGACTCCCTCCATTTCATCCATGCCGCGTTGATTCGTGCCTTTACTGCCTGATCCACACTGCCGTCGGCTGCCAGATCGCTCCCAAGGTATCGGAAGTCCTCCACTCTTTCGATGCTTTCCCCATGCCCGTCCACCCTCTGTACCCTCTTTAGAGATCAATGAGAAAACATGTAGGTGCATAATAAAATCCCTTGGTCTTGATTTCTCTGTTTGCCAGTAGGGCCAACCCTTCGTTGTAGATTCAAAAGTTTTCAGGCACCTTCGCTAGAGGGGGCATCGACACGACCTTTTACCACCCTCTACAGAGGGTCCTTCCATACAACCACCCACTCCTTCCATCATCACCTTCTCACCACAAGCCACCACCACCACCCATACCAACCACGACTGTCTATGGTCTTGGAGTGGGCATTAATAAAAGCAAAACTTGTGGAGTGAAAAATGCTCAAATTTTGCCATTTTTGCGAAAATTATGAGAAAAATCTCAGGGACTCCCTCCGCTTTTTCTCGCTGTAACACGACCCTCCAAATTCGACCACCACAGCCATCTTCTGAAAATCTCAAGTGACCTCCTCCCCAGAATCACAAGTATTAAAAATTCAGAAGAATAAACTCCGAAAATCACAATTACCACCCTTCCCCTCTCCCCCGTTTAACTTGGCACAACCTGACGGTTAAGCCTGTTTGCCTGTCACCTTGCCGTGTGCAGCTCTGACGTCGTTCCTGAAAGCGTACGCTTTGTAGTTTGCCGACGATTCCCTGCAGTGCGAATAAGGTTTCGGTTATTCGGCATGTTCCCAGATGCATAGACACGGTGCGATGAGGGTGGTATGAGTCATGTGAGAGCCATGGAGATGTAGAATAGCCTGGTACTGAGTAGCTCACAAATTTATACCTCACTATTTGTTCTGCATATCGATTTACTGCCAAATTATACAAGTTGTCGAGATGGTATATTTGTTAAACGACTTTGCCGCAGCTTTGTTTTACTGAATACACAAAAATCGCAAATTTCATATTTTATTCTAATATTGGGGCGGAAGTGGTGTAGTGGCAAGTGGCACGCTTACCACGCGAGCGGTCCGGGGATCAAATCCTGGGTCGTGAGTCGCCCGGGCCAACCAAGCCTTCCATCCCTCCGGGGTCGGTTAATTGGTACCAGACTTGTCTGGGAGGATAAAAAACACTGACTTGTACATCGGCTGGCCCCCGCAAATAGGCCACATCGCATTCAAACGCCACTACGAATGTACAAATGGAAGTAGAATGCGTGCCGCATCCCAAAAAGGGATTGATCAACGGCAAATGCTTTATCCTTTATCCTTTATTGATGTTTATTATACATATTTATTATGTCTATTTTTCACTCATTGATATTTTTATTCATCAATGTTCGATGGGAACGAATATTCAACTTTTTGTTCTGCAGAAAATTCAAGTGCTAGAGAAGACTTCCATTGAACATCTTTGCGTTTACCATTTTTACCCTTTTTTGATTATTGAAAACCGTCGGATTGGAAAGTTGGAAACATTTTACAGAAGGTTGCTAGTGGGGCTCTGTTACGGACGAAGAAGTTAGGGCATCCCAGGTCAACCGAAGACCTTAGGCTTCTAAGATTTTGGAAGGAGAGTGTAGTTTATTAGAAAGCCGCTTGTGATTGGTTCGAAGGTGAATTGGGTTCGGAAACGGGAAGATCTTTTGAGTCCAATAGTTTGTAGTAGCTGCGTGGAAGGCCACCACTATCACTATGGCCTTCTATAGGCCGTAGCCAATCCTTACCTCAGGCTAAGGGCGAGAAGCGATCCCCTCAAGTTGATTGGTTTTTAAAGACACATTTTTTTACTCTCGGTGCATGATTACTTTTACACACATGTATCTTGTCCAACTAGGTCCCTTTTTGGAGCGATTTTGGTTGAAGTCGACTTTTCTTACCCTAGTCTAGGGAAGGATAGGTTACGGCCTCATTTTTTATGAGAGCCTGATGTACAGGTCTCAAAACAGGTCGGGTCCCTATGACAGTTTTGTTGTGATCAAACCAATGGAAGGCGATGAACAGGAAAAGCCCGGAAATAGAACGACGGATTTCTTTGTTTGTTTCCTGGATTTACGGCATATGGGGTATCGGAAAGATGGCGGTATAGCGGTGACGGCTTCCGTTGCGCAGCTCTGCTTATGCATGTCTTCCCACGCCGTTGTGCCTTTTTTGTGCCGACCTATTTGGCGATCCATTCGTTATGTTGCGATTCGCCTTGAAAATCCACTGAAAAAATGACATTGTCATTGTGAGCGGCTCCTGTGTCAACTCTTCTCTGATCTTTCCGACTGTTCCATGTGGGTTTTTTTTTCGATTAGAAGCAAACTTTAAGAATTTACTATGGTTGTCGTGCGCGGATTTCTTTTTCTGGAATTGACCATTTCGTAGATTTTTTCGTCGTTGAGATGCGCCTATTTTTT